TGTGGTTTCTTACAAATTAACTTAAATAAACATTAAACTTAGTTTTAGTTATTTTTGGCGTTCGTTACATGATTACATAAGATGCAAGCTCTTTTACGGTGAGTTTTTTCCTATTAGACTGTCATGCAAGTTTACGGTGGGGTGTTAACCTTAAAACAAATGATGAGAAGCTTTATTCGCTAAATAAACACACACACACGGGAATTATGACGGGACCACCATACAAGCTCGTTCTCGCTGATTTCTGCTTAAAATGTACTTATACAAACGACAAATGTCTATAAACAGAACCGCGTTCAGCTTAGTTTTCTACAGCTATTTTCTTTTAAAAAGCCTGCTGGGATCAAGCTAGTTTACGGTGGGTTTTTCCTATTACACATTCAAGATGTTTTCGGTGGGGCATGTTTTAGCCTTAAATTACATGAAGAAAAAAACAATTTGCGGTATTAGATCTTATATAAAAACAACCAAAAGTGCCCAAACACGTATTTCATTTTTTTGACTGCTATTTTTTTTTACTAACTTACATTTTAAGCTGTACTGCTGTCCCACTCCGTCCGCCGTTGTTGCGAGTGTCGAGTCCAGCGGCCGGCGCGCAAAGCATGCTGGGATACCCTTGCTCCTGTGAGGATCCATCAGACCCATCCTCGAAATGTGGGTGGAGCGAGGACGCGTTTGAGGACGCGAGAATGAGGATTCTTGGAATTCGGACAGTACTCGTCGCTGCGCTTTGACGTCATCGACCTCAAAATGGGCACTCACAAGCATCCTACCCCTGGATTCGGACACAGCCAGAGACAGAAGTAGCCATAGCCATGCTGAGGCTAAGCTAACTGGACGAGCAACCCGTTGAACACCAAATAAACTGCATGCGAACTCAAATGGTTCTCTAAAAGCTAGGTGGAACAACAGAAAATGTGTGTTTTAGCGTGCTTATGTGCTACAATAACTCAGAGATATTCTAGTACAAAGAAATTTAATCAATTTTAGCGAGCCACAAACACCGAACAGCTACACATAGTGCAACACTGAAAACAGGAAACACCTTACCGCGGATACTACTGAGTCAGAACAAACTTGGATGGCTACGGCTTGTTTGAAACAACGTTGGCATAAACTTTTAACTATTTAGACTTGGGCTTTTCTTTGATTCAAGAGCAGATAGAGGTACTTAAAGGTTCTTTCCAGGGTATTTCTCTTATCCGATGGCACTATCTAGTGGCTGACAAGCATATCACACTCCTTCTGTTTTTTAAGATGGCGACTTCATGTTTCTGTTTATAAATGCGCTTCTGTAGCCGACAAACAGAGCTAAAACCATGGCTAAAACACGTTGTTTTACGAGTATTATTCTAATGTTATGTTGTGTTCTCATATATTTATATTTTAGAGACGTACTTGTCCATGAAAAGTTCATCAACTCTGCATCAGCTGAGGTATTCCTTAAATTTTAAGCAAGTAAGCGGTAGTCTAACGCTATTGGTTAGTTCTGGTCGGCGCTCAGTTTCCTATTGCACAGAGCTCTGCGAAGCAGGGGGCGTTTACACTATTCTCTTCTCCTTGGTCGCTTCTATTGATAACATTTGGTACGTTCACTATCTTCGGTATACTCTTTTGGAAATTGGATAATAGGATTTGACAATTTGGCATCTAGACTTCGGACCGGCATTTTGACTTTGAATTTAGGATCTCCCCTTTTTCATAAATATTAATATTCTCGGTTGTCTATCCCCATCCCCTTCTGGGTTGGCGCTTTACGTTATCTCCTTTTTGAATATTGCTCCTTCGGTTTTGTATATAGTATAGTTTTTAGGTTCTTTGTAAATATCCCGTGTTTTGTAATAAAAATCTTTGTTTTTTTAAGTGACACAGCACGTTGATTATTATTTCACCCACACATTACTTTTATTACTCCCCTCCTCATCTCTCCTAGAGAGCCGGGGATGTAAGAAGCTATTTCACTGACACCATATTTGGATTTTTTTCGCACCCAGGAAATGCTTTGTATTTCTTAAAACATTAAAGAGACAATGTGTAGTTTTTACCATTAATCTCTGGAAATACCCATCGAAATGTTGTTAAAATGAATTAAACAATGCCCAGTTGTTGAAAAATATTGGTGGCTTTGTAACATATAACCACAAAAGTCAGGTCTAAAATACATGGGATCGGGTCTAAGTCTCTGTTTGATGCCATATTAAATGCCATGATTCCTTCTACGGGAGCCCATGAGGACAAAATGCATTTACTGATTTGCAACAAATGGTTACAAAATTTTCACCATTAATAAATGTGGTCATTTTACACATTTACCTCTTCACTTGCTGCCAGTGATGAAAGGGAGTCTGATATGCTTGTCATTTTGCTGAGGTTTGCACTTCCCAGGGCTTTTTGACCCTAATGGGTATCCGTTGGTAAGGTCTTAATCCAACCAAAAATCCTACTTGCTTGCAATGATTTGGGTAACTACTACCCCCCTATCTCCAAGAAAAATACACACTTCCATTTTTAGTTCTTTTTTTTTTAACACAGAAAAGTTTTTTTTTTTTTACCTTGCTGACAGTTTTGTTTGCCGACTGCAAAACTTCCTCAGAGCTGACGCTGATGGTGGCGTCACTTCCTACTTCGTTTATCCCTCGGGCAGCAGAGGACGTTGTCGCCCTCTGCTGCCCGCTCTCCCCTCACCGATGATGCAGTCCCATGCACGATCCAATGTGGAAACTCCATCATCTCGGTTCATGGTCCCACATCCACGTCTCCTTATATCTATAGCTTCCCTTATCCATCTTTTGTATTTCTGTTGTTCTGTGTTTATGATCCTTGTGTTGTCCCAGTCCATTATATGGTTTTCTCGCATTGGATCGTGCATGGGACTGCATCATCGGTGAGAGGAGAGTGGGCAGCAGAGGGCGACAACGCCCTCTGCTGCCCGTGGATAAACGCAGTAGGACGTGACACCACCATCAGCGTCCGCTCTGAGGAAGTTTTGCAGCCGGCAAACGAAACTGTTAGCAAGGTAAAAAAAACGTTTCTGGGTTTAAAAAAAGAAGTAAAAATGGAATTAGAAACTAGACAGCAAGAACTTACCAAAGATGAAAAATACACACTGTCACTTTAAGACTGAGTTTTGAAAATTGAAACAAGGTAAATATTCTCTGTCTTTAGTTTGAGAATGTTTCTCCATAAAATATGCCGTGAAAGTACAAGGTCCGTTTATTAAATCAAAACATGTTGTTTGCTTTTAAAAAACGTAATCCAGTCTGATGATTTATGTCTGGTCTGTTTGCCACCAACCGATTAGCAGGTATGTGTTTCCCTCGCTTGCCTACTACTCTTCACTTCATAAATTTTAAACCAAATGTTCTTCTCACATCTCCACTCTAAGAAACTCTACCATATGCATCTACTCAATGTTACAAAGGCATCCAGGGGCCACCCCTATTATCCGGCACACAGGTGTTTGAGTCTACTCTGGAGGGACAAGGACCAGACCAAAGTTTTACACAAAGCAACACACACACACACACTTTCATCCACACACCTCAGAGCCAGTGGGGCCAAACTCTGTGGGTAATGACTTTCCCACCCACTACACAGCATGCACATGTTGAAGCCGTTAACGATAAGTGGTTTTTCAAACTTGGTAACGTCCTAATGTCCCTGTTAATCTGGCATTCCTCACTTCAAAGGGCACAGTGCATGGGCGAACTATTTCTGTGAGATGAGCAATTCTGTGAACTATTAAAAATCATCAAGCAACCATTTTGGGGTGTATCTTTTGCCCAAGTATAGAACTGGGATCTGAGCAACATCAAAATATTTTCGCCCAAACATCCTGATGTAAACTGTGTAGCAAACAGCGAGTGCAGGCTTGGGGTTTCTCTGATTAATAATTTAGGGATTAAGTGCTGCTTGTGATGGGATTATTGCCCAGTGTGCATAATGAAGCACGTTTTGCTGATGCAGCTGATCAAAAATGCACTGTGAAATATGATACAACAAAGTAATGCTTCAGTAAAGACCTTGTAGCATGTTTAGAAAATAAATTATCACAGATAATAGAAAGAAAACCAACACTTTCACATTTACCACACTACAGCATATTACAATTGTTCTTAAATCTGGGGTTGGGACCCCAATGCAACTCACAGAAAACTGAAAAATTAACCCTACATTCTAAAGAATTAAATGTTGAGTTAACGTAATGTGGCAAGGTGGAGAAACGAGGGCCCGGGCGGGATTCGATCCCCAGACTCCCGGGTGAAAGCCACGCGCGCTAACCAGTCACTGAAGTCAAGTTATGTCAACATGTTCCACTACACCTAGTTGCCTAAAGAGTGATATACATTTACTTTAAACATAAAATTGTCTATTACTCTTTAGATTTAAGCAACTAGGTTTAGTGGAACCAGCTGACATAACTTGGTTAAATAAATTCAACATTTCATTTCTTACAGTGTAATAGAATGTAAATATTTATGTATGGACCAAATACAATATCCATAAATTAATATATAATAGATTGCAGCTGTTTCTGTTCTTATTATGCCCCTTTTTAAGTACAGTTTGTAGTTTACTCACGAATCTGGTTTTATCATTTTATAGGTCAGATGCTAAAGTTTCAAAACCAAAGACGCCAGAATTCATAGAATTCCGTTCAATTTGATTTTTGTGCAAGAAAAAAAATACATTAAACGTGTTTTATGTTTCGTTTTTTTTTTTTTTTTTTGCATATTCATCTGTTTCTGAACACCATGAGACCTTTATAGGAGTTTATTATTTATTCAGTTCAGTTAGAAACAGTCAGCACCTGACTAAAAAGGATCACCGGAATCGTTTTTACACACGTTAAATTATTTTCTGCAGTTTTTAATAATGATCTATCAAAATAAAACAACTATTAAACAAAGGAGAGTCGTGTGAAATTACTGATCACTTTCCCTTTTACATGGTGGTCATGGAGCTGTTGACTGAGGTGGTTTTTTGTTTTGTTTCTTTACCTGGATGTGTCTGAAGGCGGCTGTTAGCTGGGTCATGTGCAGACTGAGGCACCTGGATGAGCATCTGGCGCTGTTGATTTTGTCCTGAACATCCTCCGGTTCCGGTGAACTCCTGCGCGCAAGTGCCACCACTAACACCGCGCAGAGCAGCACCAAACCGGCCCGAGAAATACACATTACTCCCGCGAGTTTGTTTTCAAAACAACAACAAAGCTACTACGCTAATTAAACTCCGCACTCGTTTCCTCCTCGCGCACGGTTCACTCTGCGTTCTGCTCTCGCGCTCACGACCTGGTGAGTTTATGAACCCAACTGAGCGCGTGAGCTGTGTGTGGAGCGGCTCCTCGCGGACACTCCCACCACCGGTGCTGCACCCACGCGGAGTTCTTACGTACCACTCAGTCTAGCTGATTATCGTCATCACTGGGACTGAAGCATCGCTCCCATCATTTATGCAGCTGCCATGAGCTCATCATCTCCGCCCCCGTCCGCTCCATTTAATCTGTTTACTTGGTATTTTAGGATCAACATCATCAGGCTCTGGACAGGGTCAGAACCATTGGCAGTGGCGCCCCCAAGGGGTGGCCAGTTGGGGTTTGGGCAATCACAGAAAAAATTGTTGGCCACCCCACTAGCCCCCTCATTAAATCACATTCATGTTCACTGAAACCTTACATGCATCTTCTTTAATCAAGACATATATTCTGAAGTCATATTTTAAAATATAATTTCATAAATAATGTATTTGATAAATCACAATTTAAAAATAAATGTCAGTGAGGCTCACCATTATAAATGTATAAATTCCAATAGTCCTTGTACATATTTTTGAGGCAAATTATACAGTTTTAAAATTCTAAAACAATTTAATTTAATTTAATTTGAAACAATACATAAAATAACTGCTTGAAACTGGAAGGTTTGTGTTTCTCAACTTGATGTAACTGTGTTGGATGCATGACAGAGTGAAGAAGCAAGGAAATGCACAACTACAGACTAAAGTCTCCCATAGTTACCACTGGGAGTAATTTTCACTGGGCTCATCTGCCCTCCCCCCAAAAAGTTGTACAATAAACCATTAGGTCCCAAGAGCAGACCTGAAACGCAGGGTAATGCAAAACCCTAATGACTGAATTTCATGCAAGTAGAGACAAGATCCAGGTATGAAATGGTATAATTTATTCACTTAAATCACATTGATTGAGTCATTATGGTGGAATGTTTTACTTAAAAATATCTATCATTTGTCTCTTGTGGTGCTGGATTTTGTGTTTGTTCGGCTATTTTTTTTAAATAACTGTGTTTATTTTCAACTTTGGTTGAGTTTTATTCCCTCAGTTAACCCCTTACTGTTCATTCCTCCCTCACCTGTTTCCAATCAAATAATCAGCTCAGCTGTCCCAACTCTCCCAACAGCTCCCCTCCCCTTTAACGGATGACCTCAGATGTTGTTTGTTAAGCATTGTTAATTTCAACTAGCTTTCCTGGACTTGTAGGACCGAAGATATTTTTTAAGCAACGAATAAATAAATAAATGTTCCATGTAAAAAAAAAAATCCCCATCTCACCCTCTGCAGGTGATCTCATCCTTCCAAGCTCAGGTTCTCTACCAGAGGCCTGGGAGCTTGAGGGTTCTGCAGTATCCCAGCGGTTCCTAAAACTGCGCTTTTCTGGACTGAGATGTCTGATGTTTGCTGGGCTCTGCTTTAGCCACTCCTCCAGTTTGGGGGTTAATGTCGTGAGTGCCCTAATGACCACAAGTACCAACGATGTCTTCACTCTCCAGGCTTTCTTGAGTTCTTCTTTGAGGCCCTGGTACCTCTCTAGTTTCTCATGTTCCTTTATCTGATGTTTCCATCACTTGGTATTGCCACATCAACCACAACAGCTGTCCTCTGTTGTTTGTCCACCAACACAATGTCCGGTTGGTTCTCCATCACCATTTTGTCAGTCTGGACCTGGAAGTCCCACAGGAGCTTGGCTCTCTCCTCCACGACACACACACGCACACACTCATCCACCACCTAGGTGTTTCACACTTTGACCTTGGGGCTTCCAGTCCATGCCCTGTACAGATGTTTCTGTACACGATGCCAGCCACTTGGTTGTGGTGCTCCATGTATGCTTTCCCTGCCAGCATCTTACACCCTGCAGTTATGTGGTGGATTGTCTCAGGTGCATCTGTGCAGCCATGATGAGTGCCTCTGTACTGTCCTTCAGAATAGCTCTTTCTAGCCATTGGTAGGATTTCTTGATATCAGGCACTTCAGTTATCTGTCGGTGATACATCTCATGCAGGGGTTTGTCCTCCCACGATGGTCTTTGCAGTGTCATATCTCTCTCGATAGACAGACAGACAGACAGACAGACAGACAGACAGACAGACAGACAGACAGATAGATAGATAGATAGATAGATAGATAGATAGATAGATAGATAGATAGATAGATATCCTGTCAAACATGCATTTTCAACTTTTTTCATCTTTACAAGCATGTTTTTGAAGCTCTTACAACACATTTTGTGTCTGAAATGTTATATTTGATCATATATAATTTCAATATCCTCAAATCACCACCACCTCTTCACCTCCACCCCACTAATTATCATTAACCTCTACTTTCATACGCTGAAATCTTATGTCACCTGTGGAATGAATGATACTTTTCTCCCCTTTAATTTTCTTGCATTGGAAACAATTGTGCCCTCATTTTTCGACTCTTCCAGCTAGTTGATCGTCTTCATCTGTGCTTCTGGCATCTTCATTTTCACATTCATCATTCCTGCTGTCATCAGAAGTATTACTTTCAGCATAGTTTCAGTAAGCTCATCGTATTACATGCTCTCCTAAATATCTGGTGTGCAATGTTTGTCATGTTTAAGATCAGAAAAGCAGTTTAGTCAAAGTTCAAAGTTTGAAACTGGAAGGGAAAAATATCAGGCGATACTACCAGAGCAGTGGCGCTCCCAAGGTGTGGCCAGGGGGGCCAAGAACACTCCCATAAAACTGTTGGCCACCCCACTGCCCCCCAGGGAACACCTATTCTATTCTCCTTAATAAATTACATTCATGTTCATTCGCAGCTCCCGTGTCTGGGGCTGGAAGTTTTTGCCATCTGCCTGCTCACTCCTGGAGTCCGGATCCCTGAGGTTTGTCGGTTCTCCGCTGGGGTTGGACGCCCTTGGGTCCCAAGCCGCTGAGTTCTGGGCTCGGGCTTCCCTGGAGTAGGCAGCTGCGGGTGGGCCTGGGGGCTTGCCATTATTATCTCCTGAGCCTCTGGCGCAGCTGCTGGCCCCCCGAGGTGATCCTCTGGGGAGTTGGGGCTTCTCCAACAGCAGCCTCCCTGGGGTCTCTGCGCTCCAGGGGAGACCTCTGTCTCTCTGGGGCTTGGAACTCCTCCATCTTCCACGGGTCTTTGTGGGCAGGTCTGTGACCCCTCACACTCACTACTGGACACTCCTATAGAGAAACCTTACACACACAAGAACGTGTATGCACGTAGTTGCTCACATGGTGCTCTCACAAGTATGGAGTTGGGCATTTTTAACACATAACCCATGGCTGTGGTTGGCACTAAATGCACTATAAATTATGACAGTGTGCTTTTCAGCTACAATTGTTACTGTTGTACAGCCTCATGTGGTTGGTGCAGTGGTATTTTAGTTCTGTTGTATTTTTGTGTGCATACCTTTTTTCTTGTTTTTTTCTGCAGGTCTAGAAGCAGATTCTTCTACATCCTTTATTGTTTATTTCTGTGAATATAGCAGAAGCTATACTGCTCCACCTGTGGGAGTGAAACTGTTAGGCTCGTCTTTGGCACTCATCCATAAACTCTGATTGCTGGTGAGAGCAGGTGGCAGCTCTTTGGTAGTGAGATTGTTCAAAAATGGGGAAAGAAATTACTAAAATCAACTCATATTACAAGCAATTTCACTTATCTCACTATTATCAGCTATCTTTACTAAACTTGTTTTCAATCATTCCAATTTGCAGAGGATTTCAACACCTCAAACAAAATTCTTACTTTAGTCTCAGGCACATTTAAACTTTCCCAGTTTTATCATGAAAAACAAACTGCCCTCTCTATATGGGAGCTCTCTCCAAATGTGATTTTTTGACTAATGAAGGCCATTTATTAATAGGAAAGTGGCTCGAGGAATGTGTTGAGAAATGTTTTTGTCACAGAGCCAGGAGTGACTAACTCTTTTTGACAGCAACATCAGAGCCAAGTGGAGTTTTTGTGACAAGGAGCCAAGTCGAGATGCTTGAGACACGAAGCTGAAAGACCTGTTTGTTTACATGAAACAGTACCCCCGGAAAAAAAGTAATCTCTGCTGGCAACCAGAAGTAGACAGAGTCACCTAGGTTTTGATTTAGGGGAAATGGAGTCATATAAATATTTAAGAAGTGCTGGCAGAATTGTTATTGGCCCTTTAGTGAAAACCAGACTTTTTGTTCTGTTTAATACGGAAAGGCACCCATACTGTAGGTCAATTTGTCTGCCTTGGCTTGTTAATCCAGATCTAAAACGTGGGATTTCAGCTAATCAGATCAGACATATCAATGATTTATTTAACCAGTTATCATACCTTAAAAATAATGAATAGGATCAAATTAAAAATAAAAAATTTTGAAAAAAATAACAACTCTCTGCTGTAAGACAGGAAAAAGTATTAGTTCCAACGTTTTTTTTGGGCAAAACCATTTCACTTTGGACAGAATAGAATAGAATAGAAATACATAATTTAGAACTTTGTAATGCCATACATGCAAAAATTATGTATAAAATAAAGATAAGAATTAAAAAATGAGTTAAATATTTTGTCCCCTAACAAATGCACGATACTGTGCAGAATAGGAATGAAAACACTGGAAGTTCAAAATAAAAGAACCCATTTTATGATGCATTTATGAGAAGACTATGAATGAAAGTGACCCACAAGATCCAAATAATAGAGGGCTATGTCTTTTGCTTCGTTTATTTTTATTTTATTTATCTTTTTCCAGCTCTGGAAAGCTAAATGAACCAAAATCATTTTTTATGTTTAGTTTGAATGCCAGTTTATGTTGATTTTATGCACTTTCCATGGTTGTATGTAGCAAATATTTCACATTTTACAAGGAGTAAGTTGTGTGCAGCAAGGAAACTGATCCTGTATTCATGTGAGCAAACATTGGAATTAGAAAACTTAAAATCAGTGCTAACACACACACACACACACACGTATACACTCAAAGACTCTCGATGGTAAGCATATGTTGTCAGTCTAAATCTGCCAGCTGATTGAAGCCAAATGTTTCAGGGTCTTCGTGGAGAACTCAATAACGAGAGACAAAGAGGGATGAAGAAATTAGAAATCAGGGCAATGTCGTATCTCAGACCTGACAAGCAATGTGAAAGTCTTGTGTCACGTTGGGAGCCAAGAGGAGGTTAGGACCCAAAGATGCAGAGATTCCAGATGACA